AAGGCGCAGAAATTGACTCATCATCGGCACGCGATTCATCCTCGGAGCAAGAGAGGGTGTGCATTAAACGAGCAGCTTCTACGTCGTTATCAGCTTTCATTATCTGGATCTGACGGTCCTGCTCGTCCCTAACAGCCTGCATTTCCAAAATTTTCTGTAGCTGACTTCGCTTTAACTCAGCTAATAATAAGGCTGACTCGGATTTCCTGCTGCGCCTGCTATCTCTAGACTCAGCCGAAGAGCCCATGGAAGAATGCGTACCACGAATCACTTCCTGCTGTCTGTATCGTTCTTCTCGTTTAATGCACCGCTCCTTGCTCTTGGCATCTTCGATGAAATTCACGAAAAGCTTTGTCTTATCAAGTACTGTAAGCGACAAAATCGATAAATCGGGCAACGAGCACCGAAAAATGGATCCAAATTCAAAACGAAGGTGATCCCGACGTTAATGTGCTGCAGTGTATGAAAAACTATTAATGAAGCAATTAATGTACAACAAACCTTGAGAGTTATCGACCGACAGTTAGACCCACGACAAAAACGGAGACGGGTATGCCGGCGTCTAGACGCACACCCAATATTTCTCAAACTGTGGTTCGAAGGAGGAAAACTTTAACATAAAGTTTTAACATTTAGTGGCAATTTTTTGGGCGTATGAGATCTTCCCAACGGCCGCAGTTTTGTTGATTGTTGTTTAAACCTACTCGATCCCCACGATATTCAACGCCCGCGATATTCGTATTTTAATGGCTGCTATGACTGAGCACGTGAACGCGGCGGATGATTTTGCGGAGAATTTGGCTCGTCAAAGTTTTTTCTCATTCAATGCATTTCAAGAGTAGAGTACCAGACATTTCGTTGTTTTCGACTGCATGAATGCCAAAAAGAGCAGTAATTCGCCACTTTTGTATGAAAAAGCCTTCCAACGTTACGTTGCTCCCTGCAGACGAAGCAGAAGCCGTGGAATTCGTCGCACCTAGTAAGTTAATGGTTGACTGTGTAT